TACTTAAAGGCAAACAAAAACACTAATTAATTGCCAAGTAATGATTGTAATGAGGATATTACCTGGTATGATCCTCGACTTTACTTTAGGATATACAAACAAAGATAATGGTCAGGTACTGATACGACTTAATATTATGCTTGACTCAACTGATTACGTAATATAATAGCCAGCCAATAATTTGGTATTGAGTAAAGTAGTTTTTCATAGGCTGTGATTTCAATGCTTGAGGTTTATTCAAAACCCACACTGAGAATTTCTACCCTAACTTTGCAGTAAAGAACCAGTAGTCCTCTAATGTATTTGTATTTGCATTGTAATTTTGTGAAGCACTTTGTGACCTCAAAGTCTATGAAAAGTGCTATATCAATAAACATTACTTACTTACTAACTATTTAACTATATTTTAGTTTCTTTATTAGTTCCACTTTGGTTTCCTTGGTAACTACCGACTAGTTAATGATTAATTACTCTGTATATCTATGCTAACTGTGCAGTCATCCCATAATAAGGCTGGGCTGAGTTTTCCCCAGTAAGTACCGGTTAACTACCCATTAGTTACTTATTAGTTACCTATGCACTCTCTAACAGTTAATGCAATTTTGTGAACTTTATTGTGAAGTGTTACCCAGTGTTGCATGTATGTTTTTATTATATCATCACCACTATGTAGATTTTAAATAAAACCAAGTCATGACATATTATTGACTACACGTAAAAAAAAATATGAGTAGGAACATAAAAACTCTATAGCTACTAAGTGAAACCATTGTCTTAAAAAAGTTTTAGTCAAGCAAATCATTGTGCAATCTCTTTTTTTTATTAAAGAACAGAAAATATTTGTTTATGCATTTGGAACAAGGCATCAAATAAAGTATTTCCATTGTATTGAGTTTGTACCAACAAAAGCTCTCTTTCCTCAGATGATTGGGTTGACAATCTTGCCGATAAAAAGAATGTTTTCTGCGTTTCTCTCTGTGATGATCACCATGAAAGGGCGGTTGAACTTCATCTCTGGGATGGCACCATATATAAGGGGCTCTGGATAGAGTCTAATACGAGTAATTGCTCCAGCATAGACTCCAACCTCATTTACGTCCAGCGTGGCTTTGTGCACAACCTTTACAGTGCAATTAAAGCAGAGTGAGTTGATTTTGTTAAGATAACATAAGCAAGGATCTTTCCATCATATTTTCTCATCTTACCTCTGAAACAGTCAGGTTCTTTTCCTCTGCAAGGCCACTCAGATTCGCCCGAACCCCAAACACATCTGTTATTCCCATCCCTTTCAGCACGTCATTTAACTTGGAGGAGGTTTTGATAGAAAACTTGGGAACAAAGATTTTCCATTCCCTAAAAAAAAATAAATAAATAATAATAATTATA